CTAATATTCCATGGTTATATATATATATATATATATATATATATATATATATATATATATATATATATACATATATATAACATTTATAACGTTAGATGCATCCTTTTAGAGTCTTTATTTAAGTGCTAACAAAAATGCTGAAAGTCCAAGTTAAGATATATTTTTGAAAATAAATTCAAATATTCTAGGTTTAATTAGAAATTTCGGCATACTCAGTGAATAAAGTTTCGACAAACCCTCTACAACCCTAGTCATGACAAACAACTGGTAGACCAAAACTATCAGATCTCTTCGGTAATATAACACATGCAAAATGAAAAAAAAAAAAAAAAAAAAAAAAAATACACCGGAAAAGAAAGTTACGCTTTCTCATTATGCTTCTATCTGGTCAAAAGGTCGATTAATTTAAAAAAAAAATGTGTTTAGTTTTGTTATAAATAATATTATTTTGTTGTTTTTTTCTCTCGAATTTTTTCACCGGTCTATTGTATCTACACGCACACACGCGCGTGCGCGCACACACACACACACACGCGCGCGCACACACACACGCGTGTGTGTATATATTGATGTAATAGGAAAGAACAGTTAGATTAATGATCCAAAGTTCTTTAGTATTTATGTTTTTATTTAAAAAAAAAACAGTTCTCGATACAGAAGTAGAGCTTAAATTATAATTATTTTGTTTTTAAATATGATTCCATTTCGAAACAGAAATTACTATGTTTGGAAAATTGACTATGTTTGAAAATTGACTATGTTTGAAATTGATAGGTTGGAAATGGAGGTGCAATCTGGGTTTTTTATATCGTTATCAAGGAGTCACGACTGTGATTAATGTATAAATGTTTATTATATATAATAATATTATTATTTATTATATATACAATAAACATACACGCTTAAAATCATTTATTATATATATAATAAACATTTCATAACAGTAGTAACTACTTGATAACGATAGAAAAAACAGATTACACAACCTATAAATGAGTAAAACATTTCTGCAGTTAGTTATTCTAAACATCGCGTGAGAATGAAACTGTACTCTAAATCTTAAGTTTAATATTGAAATTAAACTTTAGGACTTGAGTCAAGTTTCGACACATAGTAATTTCTGTATCGCGATGGAATCATATTTTGAACATATCTCTCTCTCTCTCTCTCTCTCTATATATATATATATATATATATATATATATATATATATATATATATATATACACGTATATAGTAATAATAACGTTTATAGTAATAATATTTTTTCCTTTTTTATAAACAAAAACAAGACAAAGCCTTTTACCTTTCATTTAACGGTATGTTAAAAAAGTAATAATATGTAAAAATGTAATAATAATTATAACTAGAATACCCGTGACCCGCTGACTCACAGACGATTCAGGTTATAAAACATTGAAGTTGGTTTCAACATTAAATTGAAATGAAACTTAATTTGATTATGATTCATTTAAATGATTCAATTCATTCATGTCATCATTGGTCTGGTTTAAAAATTCATTTTTTAACGTTTTACTGATTGCTTACAGCATTTGACAGGAATAGAACTTCCGGGATAAACTTGAACTTTAAAGCAAATTAATTTAATACTTTTTAATATACCAAAAATATTGTTAAATCATCTTTACTTAAAAATATTTTTTAATATGCCAAAAAATATTTTTAAATATTTAAAATATTGTTTGTTTAAAGAAAACCAAAATATAAATAATTGCTCTACAAACAACTGGACGAAACAGCAAATCGGGATTTTTTTGTGTCTGTCTTTAACTTAAAAATATTTTAATTAAAAAAATTGTGTGTTTGAAGAAAGTTAAAATAAAAATACTTACTGTACTAACAACTCGTAAATCATTATGCGGCGGACGGACGCACCATATAAGCACGCATGCAATTACAGACTTTTAGTATTATATAAATAATAATAATAATATATAAAAAACTTTTACTAACTTTAGGTGTTTATTCGTCACCCCAAAAGAAAGACAAATATTCATATAAAAATATATCCGAAAATCCTTTGTTTTTGAGTTATTAAGTTTAACGTTTACGGTAGACGTTGTTAAATGGATCAATATAAGATACAATCCAAAAATTATTTTACATATTTAGGGGGCCGGTTCTTGATTCTAACATAAACTTTCTTTAAACATTATAGCTCAAAAACGAAGGATTTGTGGATATATGTTTATTTTATTCGTTCTATTTCTGCTACACGTGTTTCCGGTACCGTGACCTTCTTCAGGCAAAAAAAAAAAAAAATTTAAAACAATACATGTTCTTATGTTCTTTTAATGTCTCATTGATCGTTTTCTGTATTTGTTAGTGAGCCTTGAACTCCTTTCTGAACTGTTATGCATATATATATATATATATATATATATATATATATATATATATATATATATATATATATATTATTACTATAAACATTATTATTACTAGACGCACGTGTTTGAGTTCACATTCATTTTTTCAACACTGTAATTCAACCTCTGCTGGCTTGAACATTCTTGTTGAAGAAAAATGCCTTTCAGCAGGGTTCGAACCTGCGTCCACGTTATAATGGGAAATCCACCTTCGGGCCAACCACAAAAGGCTTCGCACCAAAGCCAGACTTCGTTGGCACTTTTCAATGACCATATCTTCTAGCATTATTTCCATATTTGAAATAATTCCTGATTATCACCGTTGCAAAACACGACCTTTTATTCTATGTTCTATGCTAACAGTTTCTTTTCTTGCACTTATCGCCATTGGAACGCCCTTCCGGTTCCATGCTTTCCAGCCAACGATCATTTGCAAAACTTTAAATGCAATGTCAGTCACTATCTACTGTCCTCCTGATTACTTTTTTCTCTTTCCGCCCACTATTAACCCATTACCTGCCATGAGCCTCATTTGGGGATCTGTTAAAATTAAACTCACTACATGTTATTCCTTGTATTTACATTGAATTGCTTACATACATTGCATTTGAAGAGGTATATTTTACAATACTTAGCTTTTAAAGTTTTTATTATTAGCCATAAGAAGACACTTTCTGTCATAATTTTACATTTCACGAGTAGAAAAATACTATTTTGAAAAGTATTTTTTATTATTTCTAATCAATATTATTTTTTTTATGTTTTATACAAATTTATATTTGATGTTCTAGTTTCTATAAAAACGACAATGGTAACTACTGAAATTAAACATAAGGAATAAATAAACTCCTAAGACACCTGTCTGGACCAAAAATGCGCATTAAAAAATTTTGGCAGTTAATGGGCTAAAGGGCGTTTGTACAGCTTTTTTCTTTAACTGTCTAAGCAAATCTTATAAATATATTTGACTGTCTTGTGGTTGAATGTTTTTTTTTTACTCGTGCTATCGGTTAGAGTTCAAGATTAGATTGAAACGAGGATCAAGAATACCAACTTTAATGGTACTATCATTTCCCTAGTAAATATCAGTGTTATAAGCAATACTTTTCTTTTTATTAAAAAAAATGGTTATTATTTGAAAAACGGACAAGTCTATTATCATCATCATCATCTCTGATGTTTTATACACATATATATATTTGATGTTCTAGTTTCTATAAAAACGATAATGGTAACTACTGAAATTAAACATCAGTGTTGTGGTAGGATCCACCTAATTTGCATAGTGGAGTACCGACCATATAAATATGGTTGGTACCGGAAAGACGGGGGAAGAAATCAAGAGATTCAATCCAGAGACTCTGCCCGACTGCGACTAAGTCAACACATTCTCCAGGAACGGTCTTCCCAAGAATATACAAAAGAATATATATAAATATTGTGTACACTTTCTTGTTTCAATACATTTTGTTCTAAGTACATTTTGTGTTGTATTATTATTCCATGCATTAGTCAAGTTTCAACAATAAGGAATAAATTAAATCATAAAACACCTGTCTGGGCCAAAAATGCGCATTAAAATTTTGGCATTAATGAGTTAATGTTTATGTTCCTGATTATTCCTCACCGTGTAGTTCCTTTGTCTTAGTGGCTTTATTGCCTTTCATGGATTGATAATGATTTAAAAAATAATAATAATAATAAGAGCCCGCGCGTATATTTATACACACGCGTGCGTTTGTCTCTGTTGCTAAGCGATTGCTAAATTTGCATTAGTTGATTGATACATATGCTTGTTGATTTATAGCATATGATTACAGTGATTATGAAGATATGACAAGACATGTAATTTTATTGAATTTAACATGTCAGATTTTGATGATTGCTTATTGGCAGGGACGGCACAAAAGCCTCGTGGGCCCCCAACGAATCTACGATACATTCCTCGCACCCGAATCTATGATACTGGTCCCTCCGATTCAAGGAAATTTTCTTAAGATAATACACATATAAAATACAAATTTTATAGTAACCTAATTCTGTACAATAATGGATCAAATACTATATAAGGGAACAATTCAACTAGAAAAACTGAAAATAAATACATTGTATCTAAATACAAATTAGAAACATGTCATAATAGATCATTCCATCTTAAATAAATCAACGTTTTGAGGCAATTTTTTGCATCAACTTCAGTTTTTTTTTTCTTGTTAAAATGCTGAATAATTTTAACACATTCAATATTATGGATAAAAAATTAGTAGATTTCATATAATGTTTTCTCGTGCCTTAGCATGAGCAAAACAAATTCATGGATTTTCAGCGAGAAAGAAAACAGTTTGATGCCAAAATCTACGAAAATTTCTCATCTTTTAATACGAATAATCAATTGTGCTTAGTTTAATTTAATGTAATGTAGGTAGAAAAAAAAGGTAAAGGTTTATAAGACTGCGAAGGTTACAAAGCATTGCCCGGGCCCTCAAATCAAGCTTTCCCCTCACGGTTGGTGGATTTGGGTGTGGTACATACGGCCCTGCGTATTGATTTACAGGAAGATTAAAAACTGGACATTTTCGAAAAAAATGAGAACAAAATTAACTGTTTTTCTCAGTGAACGTAAAAAGAGAAATAGTGAAAGAGAGAAAGTGATGAAAGAAAAAGAACACGTGGGAAAAGGGGAGGACTAAGAAAGAAGAATGAAAAGGGAGAGAAAGTGAGAGTGAAAGCGAGTGGGAGAGAGAGAGGAGTAAAAAGAACAAAAGGAATTGATAGAGGGAAAAAACCGAAAAAAGGGAGAGAGAGAAAGGTAAAAACTGAGTGAGAGAGTGAGAGATAGAGGGAGTTTAAGAGAAAGATAGCGTAAAAGAAAGGTGAGAGAGAGAGAGAAAGAGAGAGAGAGAGAGAGAGAGAGAAATAAGATTGAAAGGAAAAAAGAAGCTGAGAGAGAAAAGAATGATTGAAAAAAATAACGGTGTGGAGATAAAGAAAGAGAGAGACAAAGGGAAGTGAGAGACAGAGAGACAAAGAGACACAGAGAGATAGACAGAGTGAGAAGAGTGAAAGGCGGGAAGCTGAGCGAGAGCGATACACCGGGAAGAAAACAGATAGATAGATAGATAGATAGATAGATAGATAGATAGATAGAGAGGCAGAGAAAGAGAGGGAGATATAAATATATATATATATATATATATATATATATATATATATATAGATATATAGAGAGAGAGAGAGAGAGAGAGAGAGATAAAAAGTAATTAAGGGACTGAGAAAAAACGACAAGTTGTTTAACGATTCCTGGCCATTTTCTTATCCACTACACAATCTCCAGTCTTATAAACAAACATTAATCATTTATTATTTTCGCCAATTCTTTATTATTTTAATTTGTTAACGAACAAAGTGAGAGCGAATTAAGGGAGAATGAATAATGACTTTGTGGGACGGATTGACTTGTCTGCCGAGTCGATATGCCAGACATCATTCTTCTTACAGCAGTAGTAAAATCTATATCTCTTGGTTAATACAAGTTCTAGAAGTCACTTTTTAATTTATTCTGTCTATTTATTTCTCACATTCGAATGAAAAAGTTAGCAGTCGTTAAAAAGCTTTTTGATGTACATGTGAATTTGATAATAGAACGTGTGGTAGAAATAGTTATGCACGACTTCATCCCCGATGCCAGAGATCAGTTGATGAACTTATAAAAAAGAAAGAAAAATGAAACAAAAAGAAAAAATACAAATTAAATGATAATTATTAGCAGCATGTTCTATCTATCTATCTATCTATCTATCTATCTATCTATCTATCTATCTCACACACGCTCACACGTTAGTAGATAAAAGTACTATTGCTAATTTTCAATTATATATATTTATGTCTTTTATTTTATTAATTTTTTTTCGAAATTAAGCGGATTTTTTTGTTGCTTTAGGAATTAGTATTACCATTTTAATAAACGCAATATGGGCATAAAGGTTTCTTTAATGGAATGGTTGCCGTAACACAATCTTTATAACCAAAGGCCATATTATTTTTCAGTTCTTTTATGTGCCATTTTTTTTTCAGAATATAGGCGATCATATCTCTCCATAACTTTCTATCCTTTGTAGCTCTAAATAATGTTTGTCCACATACCATCGCTTACCCTCTTTTGTTCTGTCATCAGTTTACACAAGATCATTATTTTACTCTTTGTTTCCCGCTGACCATCTTGCCTTCAACTTCTTGTCCTATGAGTGTCAAATTCACCAAGCCTGCTTCCCGCTTTATGATTCTCATAAATTTCGACTGTTTCTTTTTGATTTTAAGTACTAGTTTCCTTTTTGTGTTTTCAGTTTCCATAAAACTTTCTCATTGTTCACATGTTTCGTTCATGGCATTCTCAGCTTACTTCTGGAGAACCACAATTCTTTTGCTTCAAGCGCTCTCTTCATCTGGTAGAAAATTCTCCTGCATTCACTGTTATATAGAAAAAACATACATAAACGCGAACGTGGACAAACACAGGATTATACAAACACGTACTCAGATGTACATAGACAGAAATCCTCTCACTCTCTTTTCTCTCGCATACACACTCGCGTAGAAGCGCGCATATACGTACAAATACGCGCAATTTTATTTAGTTTAGCGCTTCTAAGCGGGAGTAGTTTATCTTGAATATCAGTTGGAAATCTTAACTTTTACTTGGGATTGAACACTGGTCAGCCTTAATGTTAAAATATGCAACGGTATTTATTCGCCTTCAGGGTTATTCGGGAGAGGTTTTGAGCGTGAATGTAACTCTAAAATAGACAAATATGTAAATGATGTGTATGTATGTATGTATGTATGTATGTATGCGTGAGTGGTGATAGTTGTTGAAAAGTTTCTCGACACACTTCCCAAATTCGAAAAAAAATCAAATACAGGAATTGTTTTTTTGGTGGGGAACCGTTCTTGATTAGCCTGAGAACATTTAGCATTCCTTGTATATGTCGAAAAAAATCCCTAATGAGATCTCGGAAAGTGTAAAAAATGTGTTCATCACTGCGGTACCAAAGCCCATTTTACGAAACAATTGTTTCGATTTTAATAGCAACATTTACAAGCCCATCTCAGGGTTTGTGACTGTTACAAAAGTTGCTCCTACTTACGCTAATTTAGTCATGATATAATTGGAAGTCCAGATATATAAACACTTCAAATTAAAACACGGTTTGAACTTCCGCAAATATTTGCTATAAAACTGGAAACATTACTTGGATAATTGTCTTATTCTATGAACGCACACATTCGACCAACTTACTGAATTCAAGACCCTAAGTAACAGTATCAATAATAATGATATCCAATTCCCAACGGAATAATGTCAAGACCAACGTCCATCCCTGGACATTCTAATCGTAAAATAGACACAAACATTGAAACTGACATCCATAAGATGCCAACAGATTCTAAACAATACATACTATTCGCCTCAAGCCACCCAAAACACACAAATACGTGTATTCCATTTATTTTAGCGAAAGGAATTTGCACAACTGCCTCAAATTATGAAACGCTGAATAAAAGACTCCAAGAATGAAAAGAAATTCTACTCGAAAAACAGTACCCATCGTTATTAATAGATAATGGAATATAACGTGCCAAAGCAATAGATATTCAAGGATTACGGGGGAGAAAAAGCTCCAGATATTTCCAATATTCTATCCTATATCTCAAAACACCCCCTACAAAATACAGAATTATAGAACATTATCCACAATGACATCCCATTCTTGAGACAAGAATCATAGAATGGAAAAAGCACCCGAAACATATAAAATAATCAAAATCAAAAGAAAACCCGAATCCTTATAAACAACTACTGAGCAGTGCCAAATTAGAAACTGGCAAAAAGAGTGGTCTCCCTTGATGCCGCACTTGGATTAACATCACTGAAGATAAAATGTATAAATTTAAGTCAGGACAAATATTTTTGAAAAAAGTCAGTTCACCAAAAAAAAAAAAAAATAATATATATTATGAAATGTAATGGATGTAACGAAGATTACATCGAACAAAGCAAACTCACCCTTAGAAACAGAATGATAATTTATTGCCAACAAATACGATACCCCCGCCAGAAGACAGATACCATTCAGTGGGCATTTAAACGTATGTGCAACATATTGTCATGGGTCCTTGCCTATAACTACAGAATGAACTCTTCCTAACACTATGTATACTACGCCTCTCAAGAGAGAGGGACGAATCAAGCCGAGCTTCTCGGCTTGACGGTCGAACTCTCTGCCTCTGAGCAGAGAGGAACCAGGACGAGGCTCCGCCGAAGGGCAGAGTCTCGTTCGGGGAGGTTGATCAACCCGATCCCGTTTATACGGGTTCTACGAGCATTTTTTGGCCGAGCCTACGGGCTCGGGAAAACGACATTAAACTCGGCCTTGTGCCACATGCAACCCTCGGGGGGTGGGTAGATACCGAATCAAGCCTAGCTTCTCGGCTTGACGATCGAACTCTCTGCCTCTGAGCAGAGAGGAACCTGGACGAGGCTCCGCCGAAGGGCAGAGTCTCCTTCGGGGAGGTTGACCAACCCGATCCCGTTTATACGGGTTCTACGGGCATTTTTTAGCCGAGCCTACGGGCTCGGGAAACCCACTTTAAACTTGGCCTTGTGCCACATGCAACCCTCGTTGGGGGGGTAGATACCGAATCAAGTCGAGACGATTGTAGTTCACTCCAAACCAGACTGACAGTCATACTAACACCTTCCACATCTTGTATTATTATTTCGTGTAATATACCTTTGTTATTTCTACTCTTGGGTTCGTGTTGTTCTTCCTTGGTCCTAACACATTATTTCCCCCAAATTTAAAGTCTTCTCCAACTTTATTTTTGCCCAGACAATACCACTAAAAAAAACCCAAAAAAGCAAAAAAAACAAACAAACAAAAAACAACAAAACAAACAAACAAACAAACAAACAAAAAACACGTATAAATAAATAAAATACATTTATTCAAAAATACAAATCATGTCTGGAAATCTCTAACATAACAACGCATGTTTGCCAAGAACTATCCCCACATATACAAACATACACGCACACGTAACGTTCTTTTTCATTTTACTAATGGAATATTATTATTATCATTATTATTAAGGCGATAAACTGCTACACCCCACACACGTTAAACCTGGCCATTTGTACATTAAACTATTTGGGATTGCCACTAATGGCCAATAAAATAGAATCCCTGACACTTGAACAACTTAGCAGTTTGTTGTCCTTAGGAACGCTCACTGAACTATGACTCTCCCAATTTTTGCTAACAAAAATTTATGATCACCAATTGTTGGCGCAAAAATTACTGGGCCTGATCACGTGATCATAGTCACCTAATCATATTGCATTTTAAATAGATGACAATCTGAGCCAGATTTTTGCATAAAACGGAAAGAATTCTCGAATTCTAGTTAGATGCGAGACATATCACGAAATAGCCACACATCTCTTTATCTCAATGCAACTTTTGAAAATCATCTCACTGTGAAACCGGTAAATTTACTGTAAATAAATATTTTTAAAAAGTCCAATTTCATTTTCAACTTCTTATATCTATCTATCTATCTATCTATCTATCTATCTTCGTGTGTGTGTGTGTCACTTGAACATATAGATTAAATTCGACAGGATGATTAAAAAAGGGACAAGTATAAACTCTTTTCGCTATTTATTTTAATTACTAATTATTTAATTACTTTTTTTCTTCTCAACAATAGGAGTTGGTAGATTTGCTTGTTATTCGGTTCGTATTCCTTCTCGGTCTTTTGAGCAAGATTAGAAGTTTATTACTTGTTCCATGTTTAGGATTGTTTTTTTCAGTACCCTCTAAAATTCTATCATTCTACTTTCACTCCCAGTAAACCCCTGCGTCTTAGTAGCATAATCGCCTTGTTTCGGGGGAAATGAATGAAAAAATAGCTTCATCAGAAACATTTGTGAGTGGAAAGATTATACAATCACACACACAAGTATACACACACACGCATACATATATATATATATATATATATATATATATATATATATATATATATAATGAAATAGACAATGACTGACTATTATTTTAAGACATTTTTAGCTATAAAAAAGAATGTACATAAAAACATATAAAATGTATATATATATATATATATATATATATATATATATATATCATACAATTGAAATTAACATACCATAGGTTAATGAACATTTTCACTCGCGAATTTTAAATTTAAAATTCACAGGATTATTCAAACTGTTTATGATGAAATGATCGTTCATTAATGACATCTTAATTTCAAATATATGAAATATTTTGCTCAGTTTAATAGAAATAAACACTTAAAGCTCTTTGTGAGTCAGTTTTAATATTTAATATTTAAAAATCTATATTGTGTTAACAGGAGTCGCTTGGATTATACCAAGGGATTACTACCTATATATATATATAT